TCACCTCATGAGAATTTCATTTAAAACCAGAAAATGGAGCTGAGAATTTATTTTTCACATTTTGATTTTTTTCTATGGTTGTACTACTGTACTTTAACAAGCTCAATCTTGTCAAGAATTGAAGCCTTTTGTTTGAGTGAAATGACTGAAACCATCGCCTCCCGTCATATTTTATAGTCTTTTTATTAATTCAAAGAAACCAGAAAGGTGATGAAACCAGCACCACAGCCCTTGAAACCGGTCATAGATGCGGCAGCCAGTCGAACGAATCTGCCATATAAAGCATGGCCCGTAAAGTCATCAGCCCGACGACGTTAAAACACTGCTTGTAGATAACAGTCATTGTCAGCACGGAACCCTGGTAAATGTTGTTTGTTTTTGTTTTAATGGCGCTTTCAGCAACTCGGGCTATTTGCAATAACTGTACGTTTATTCGTACACTTTATTAATCAGCATCAAATTACGGAGTTAGGAAGAAGGTCCAGTTTTAGAGGCAGGAGGAAACCGGAGTACCCGGAAACCCTGGTAAATCCGCATGGCTCCCATCTTGGGTCTCGAAATCCCCACGACCTCCACAGTAAGTTCAAAACAAAATGTTGCTGTCACAACCTTTCCGTAGAAATAACCCCCTTATATATAGTTACTAACAATAAGGAAAGCACACCTGGATCGCAACTCGGGCACGTCTGTACTAAATAAGAGGTTACATAATGCCTACATAGAAGAAAACCCCAAGATCGTGCCACTAAGCGTCAGGACATGTTCATTCTCAACTAAAGAGGTGAATAATTAACACTGAATTCGTAACAACAGCAAATCTTCAAAATGTTGGTTTTCTTCTCTGTATTGAAATGCATTTAGGTGCAACCATTTTTGATCTGTAGCTTTGAAAAGATATCTGCTTTGCAAAAATATTATCAAAATAATCAAAAGAACCTAAGAGAGAATTCAAAATTTAGTACAACGTTCCAGAAAGCTCCAACAATGACAGACTGGGGTAGTTTTGGTCACAAAATCACTCTCAGACAATGTGATAAGCCAGTAGTAAAAAAAATAAATTCTTTTCATGGAACTTTCTACTTGTTTGTGCCCTATTCTGCCTAGTCCCTTGCATGAGTATTGAGATATACGAGAATTGAATTGAATTGAATTGAAAAAATGGTCAAATTTACAGAAAGCACCAAATCTCTCCCTTGAATTGACCAATCAGCTGCATGGTTTCGAAAAACTTATTTACGGTAGTACCGACCCCATTTCCAATATAGCACTTACATTGATCTTTTGGGAAAAAAAATATTTGGTGGCAAAAACTTGTATTAATTTAATTCTATCAAAATGTTTAGAATCAATAGATGTTTAAGATTCATGCAAAAACAAAGCAGTAAAAGTTCTTGTTTTCAGAATTTCCAGTTTATACCATTTTTCTATATAAATACTGCTGGTGCTCGACCGTGCTCCTCAGATAACCGTAACAAATCTGGACATCATCAGGTTAAACGCTTTTTTCAATTATTTTAACCCGTTTCTTAGTTTAAGGATGCCACTTCCAAGAAGATTTTGCTTTCTGTGACAATTTTTTTCCTATGCGTATTTTATATACTTCTATGCATTATTTACACTATCGGGTACTAGCAGGCAGCGTGCTCTCCAAGTATGACTCTTTGATCCCCTGGGACCTAGATCTTGGTGTGTTGGATGCCGCAGCTAGCCCCACACTGCCTTTGACGAGCCTTCAAGCTTAAGTTCGTTACAGTAATCCAGGCTCTGTATACAAGTAGGACTACATCGCCCCATTAGGAATAGCCTCACACAGTTCCTAGACTCACTGATTACTTCCAAACGGGCTGGAATGAGGCTTCAGGGATGGAGCCCATCCCACAAAAGACACTGATTGGGTCTGAATTCAAGATCTTTCCTTAAGATTCCTTTCTCAGGTAGAATCTCTTTGCTAGAACTGTGAAATACTTCTTCCTGAACTCATTCACCCCTATATTTTGGACGAAAGACTCCATGGTTCCTTGCACACCACCAACTTATTTCCTTCTGTGTATGAAGTTGATCTCTGAGTAGGAATCTGAGAACTTCCATAAACAAGGACTTAACTGTCAGTGTCAGCAACTCTGGACTTCAGCATTTAAGCCTTCCCCTTATTGGCGCACGTTTGGCGAGCTGCATGCACAAAAACCCTTGAGAAATCATAGTTGATTAAATGTCTTCAATCCATGTGTCAGTGCGTGATTTACGCAGCGGGCATTATTAATTCTCAGCAGTCAAGCTGCAAGTTGTTGAATAGGGAGACTGTCAGAGGTATTTATGAATATTAGTATAACATAGTTGATTGGATGAAGACAGGGGACTCTAGACCTGTGCTCTTCACGATGGAGTTTCATCAACTGCAGCCTTCAAAGAAGCAACTTAAAAGAGAAATCACCTTATTCCAATGTTGTTGAAAAAAGGCCAATTTATGCCCAAAAACAACAGCAGCAACTAACGCAGATCTACTTTAACATTTACACGGATGAATAGTCCTCCTCAACATGAAAAAGGGCATAGCTTTTTTAATGAGTAGCCTGAGGAAATAATAACCACGCAAGTAAGAGTTCATAGCACCAGGACGCAGTACATATCACTGCTCACCAAGTCAATTCACCGCTTCGTACCCTTGAAAGAAGTGGATAGTAAAAAGTACCAAGGTGGAAGCTGTTTCTCTTTTCGAAAACTTCCTCTGTACCATCCAGGCCCACTTCTTACTTCCTTCCTGTAGGATATGCCCGATACCAGGCAGCGATGTCATTTTGGAACGATATGATCTCGTGCGAGCCAAGAAGGGAAATGGACATGTGATGGCTGCACAGGTGTCATGAACTTAGTCAATTTTGTTCCGATTGTTATTTTGGTCCAAGTCCAGATATAATTCTATAGCTCAGGGATGCAATATGGTTATTACACATGCAGGCTTCTGTCTCAGAGCTGGGTTGGATGGGGGCAAGGGGTTGCGTTAGTTCTGTTCAAAGGAAATTTCATACTATCCTGAAAACAACAAAAAAGTGCTCTCTTTCATCCGCCCAATCCAAAAGCAGGAAAAGTCAGCGAGTACAGCATTACCCAATGGTTCAGGGACCTATATATCTTCTCCTTATCCATACAATCGGCAGGGCCTGGATGGCAACATCAACAGGTATACGTCATTCATCCTTCCCCTTGGGAATTGCCAATCTTTTCGTTCCCACACTGGGCATGGATTTGTACATCACACACATTCACATGTAGCGGTGCAACGGGGAGGGGTGTCTCTTTATTTTAATTTTGGTTTTTTGCCCTGTCCCACGTGTACTGTAACACTGCACTCTCAGTGTTTCCCCCTGAAGCTTGTGAAAGAAAAAACACAAGCGCGCTCGGGTGTGACTCGAACCCACGACTTCCTGCTTAGTAGTGCAGATAAACTATTGTAGTCATTTGCTGGCAAGTATTGTGTTTGTTTCAGCCACTACGTTTAGTCCTGATGTTAAAAGGTTTCAGAATAGACCCTGAAAGTTGCTGATGGCGCGCTTCCGGAACCCTTGGAGAGGAAAAATAACGCGCAAAGATTTTAGAATTTGTAATATTTTTTTTTCGTTCAGTCACTCCTTAAAAAATCCAACTCGGATAAAGGGGTTTGAAAATATGTGCTAGTATATCAACTTAAAAAAAAATGAAAAATTACCTGACCTAAAACAAAAATATCCAAAAATTGACCCATCCCTTCCGAAAATCTAAAATACATGAAGAACAGTCCAATGCGGTGGTCTCGAAAGCAGGTGAATATTTATGGCTTGAAATTTTATGGTAGTCTGTCGGTAAAAGCCAAAAAAAAAAAGATCAAAATATTTCACAGAGCATTTTGAAGTAATAATATACTTTGACGAAAGATTCTAATATTTTATTCAGTCTTTGCTGATAACAACTGCGTTATGTCAACTCAACAGAATCTGGAACCCATCGGCTACAGGTACGCCAGGAAGAACAAAGGCGGGCATCGCCAGGAAAGCTTTGTATTCGGCTCAGTAAAATGGCCGCGAGTGGATTCAATGACTCTATAAGCTGAGCATTGCGAGTCCAGATTTTATTATACACGTCCGGGCCTGCAACCCTCTATTACCGTGCAGAGCGCCATCTATCGCCCACGATCCCTGTGTCGCGTCTCATTACTCCAGAATTACGTTTAAAGAGACATACTGCAACACGGTGGACTTAACATTAATGGGTATCATGACAGGGGCTATCTAGATCCTCTTCCCAGAAATGCAGGCGGGAAATGACAGGCCCTACAATCGCAGCTAGTGAATGTGTACAAAACGCGCGTGTGGACTAGTTGTTGAAGCCTATAGATTTGAAGCAAATGATCTCTAAATCACCTATTTTCGATCATTAATTTCCTGGATAACTTTGTCTCTGCTTCCTTTTGCAAAATCCTGATGACACCCGTGTTTACAATAGATCATTTTATTCTCCCCGGACTCTCAAAAACGCAATAATAGATTTGACAAGTTTAGCATATGGCGCCACGGTTCGATATGTCATGTTGTAACGAACTATTCCTCAGGTCAATAAGCTTGCATAATGTCCAGGGCCAGTAGCTCAATCCACTTACTGCCGTTCGGTTTGCACCGGGACTTGTTCCATGATTTGAGAATTCAGTACAGGTTGGGATTACATAAAAAAGTGTTTCCTCTTCGAGGCTTTCACAAGAGGAATTGATGAATTTGTTTTCACTTAAGTCACGTTTTTGTCCCTTACTGAAACGGTTACCTTAATATATTTGAATTCTCCGAATTGCTTAATTAACCCTGATTTTAATAAAACAAAATATGCAATGTGACAGAAACCAGGCATTATTCCATAATTGTAATGTTTCGAATTTACGTCTGAAGTAATAAGTTTGATATTCGTGTTTGTGTGCGTTTTGTTCATTCGATTATGTAAGCCTAAACAATGGCAAAAAAAGACATACACTTTAATCATCGGTTTAATTCGTTTGGTTTGATACATTTATTATTAAGCTGTCGGTTTATCAATTGAAAAACTGTTTATTAATTAATTAACTAGAGCTGATTTGGGCGTTTTGGTGCATTTTGTTAATTCAAATTTGCACACTTCATGTACGGCAACGCCATGCATTTCAAAGTATACCGTCAGAACAGAATCCACATTCCAAGTTATTTTGTGTGTTTCCATATTTTTATCGTGGGCACCTTTAATCACATGTAGATAAGCAAACATGTTCACAGTGACAGTTATACAAAAACGGGCATTATTCGTTTGGTTTTTCACAATGTGTAGCCCTGAACGCTGCTTGGAGTTAATTGTGTGAGGTAAATTAATATCGTATTTATTATCAAAAGCGCATATTATGCATGATTATTTTGGATACTGTAGCATTTATATTATATTATATAGGGATCAAAATGTGTCAGGGAATTCTGTAACAACGATTGGTAAAGAGAGAAAAACAGGCTTGGCAAGAATTCAGGTTTATGGAAATAGCTTAAATGGAAGTGCAACAAATAATAGAGAAAGCAGAATGGGAAACAACCGAAAGTATTCCGGAGCTAAAACTCTGCCAAATTCTTTTGCTCAAACTTCGCCAGAGACGTCACGCCATTATAAACAAAGAAAACTCAACGACATAAAGTGAATGGAATGCTAAATGTTTGAGTATATAAAGGATACACTAACGTCGATTTGGTGTTTTGGTCCTTTGACTAATAATTAAACTTACGGTACTGTTACGTTTGTCAAACTAACGCACGAAGTCCTAAATCTTACTATCATTAGGCATACAAGGATATTAGAAGCCGCTAGTACAAAAGACCATTATAAAAGTTCAGATTTTGAGCTTTCCTCGAAAACAGCAGTTACAGCATTCAGTATGAAAAAACGCTGATCTTGTCTTACGGCATCATCTCTGGAGGCAGCAAGTAATCGGTGTGTGGACCGTCGATGAGACCGTGGGCATTATCTTTCACGTACCAGCAAGGCTGCTTACGGCCCACCAGATTGTTCAGCCGGGATCGCTGGACCACATCCACCCGTCGGTCCATGACAGTGAGCTCCGCCACCACGCCGTCCTTCGGCTCGCTCTGCGGCTTGACCTGGATCTGCCTACGCTGGAATTGCCCTGAAATGGTTCCAAAGTGCAGAGAGCATATTTCGTTTCTTTCTCCATGGGGGGGGGAGTCAAATAATTTTTTTCTGTTGTATTGCTTGACTTCGGGGAATATAGGGTTAGTCACACTCTTTCAAAGTTCGGGAAGTCATAATTTCCGTTCATGTGTACATAATTATGGTTTCCGTTCGCATATTTTTTTTTTGGGGGGGGGGTAACAGAATATTTGGCATACCTATCAGTCCATGGACCTCCCCACTAAAGCCTTCGTGGTTGAAAATGTAGAAGCCCAAATGGTCCACTTTGAACGCAATGTCTGGGTTCATACGGTGTAGCATGATGGCTAGGCTTATAGCCCCGTCATTCCTGGTAAGCACGGCTTCTTTGTTGTGGACAGCCAATGACCAGTCACCTAAGTAAGGAAGTGCACCATTGAAAGGGTGGATTAAGATGAACTGTAGTCATAACATGTTTTACAAGAAAACTGCTTGCATTGGACTTTGACTCGTGGTCTGTCTCGAAGGCACCTGCATTACATATATATCAAAGTGGCAACGGGAAAACTGATGGAAGTTTTAACCATATCGGAAAGGCCACAGGGGAGAGGAGAATAGATTTCAACGAAATTAATGAATGTCAAGGTCTGATGAAATTTTCACCTCTTTCAACCGTGACGGAATTTTTCCAGGACAGCACCATGTTTCCATCCAAGGTGACGTCGCTCGTGGAGAGTTTGACGGTGTGCCGTCCGAGACGTATCCCGATGCGGCCGAAGTACGTGCGGATGCGGTCGGTGCCCGGGACAGGTTTGGGTGCTGCCACTATAAAGCCCATCACCTGAATACCTGTGACGGTCATTGGAAAAAACGTGAGCGCATTTACTTGAGAGGTTCCCAATGCATTTTTGGCCTTAACGCCGCCCAGCCATTCGGAAACCACGCTGAAATATCAAAAGCTTATAACTGGAAAAGGATACCAGTACAAATTCCACAACTTTCGATACTTCTTTAACTACCAAATATCCCTTGTTGAAGAAAGTGTTAACTTTGGATTTTTTTTGAAGCACGGAGTTTAACAGAGGGAACAGAGAACTGTCAAACATTAATCTGCATCACCGCTTTTCCGGCTGTTGTAAAAAAAAAGAAATTCGGTTGTGCGCATGTCCCACTTTTGCTGCGAGGTCAAACAAAATACATGATTCACCCGGCGAAGAAGGGCCTCAAAAATTTGGAATTTTTCATGAGTATTCCCATTTTGGGCGGTTACTTTTGCAGAAGTTCATTCATAAGAGTTCTCATGATGTAATGGATCATCCAAACAGATCAATATCGGTATCACAGGCGCAAAACCTGAACTCCGATACAAGTAGAGTTTCGCCAGTCACTGTCGAGGGCTGGCTTTCAGGATGAATTTCATGATTAAAGTATTAAAGTTTTCACATGCTCAAGCACCACGTATTTTCATGATGACAACACTCACAAAAGAGGAAAGAACACACACTTCAAAAGTTGCGGGGCTTCCCGCAAAACGTGCAATGTGGTCTAGCATGGTGCCAGCTGGGGGGCGACTCATCTGTTCAACGGCCCATTTGGCCATAAGCGATTCTAGACCACAGCTCTCAAGTGGTAAATGTAATGACCTAAAATATACCCTCTAAGTAACTGTAACTCCTACAAGAAAGTTGTTTCAAACAGACTAGCATCAATCACAGAGTGCATGATTATCGTACATTATACCATAGATTATACGAAGATAAAATCTAAATTACCCAACATTCAGAAATAATTTGCGTCATTACAGGGCTCTATTTCTACTCCCATTTGAAACTATTAAAAGATATATTCAGTTAAGCTATAGATGTATTTTATAAGTGCGCATATTTGATCTATACAGCTATATATATTTATCTATACATGGTCTATAAAGACTATTTTTATGAAATTGAATTTATGATACAGTGTTTAATAAATGTTCAGTTTCTTCAAGCTGATTGAATTATGCAATATCAGTAGCAAAGCAACCTGCAATGTCCCTGTCACAGCACGTAGCGCGTGTGGTCATGGCGTGGCCTGACTGATTTGTATTGCACAGAGCGGAAAAATGTTTGGTTTTTCAACACGCCCTCAACGATGATGAAGAGCCAAAGGACCATTCTTCACCCTGTCACTGTCCATTTCCTCAGGAAAGCTTATTTTCTATCAGTCCCATCAGGCCCATAAATTCAACCTGAAATTGATCACAAAGCGTACGAAAAGAAAAATATCCTCCACCTCTTCGGTAGGCCGCTCACACTACAGGACATGTTAGCAGGGTCGAATCGATAAAATTTAAAGCGTCACTGCCACAGAGAAGTAACTCTTGATATTCACGTCCCTTTTCTCATTTTTATACAATATTTGGTCAAAAAACCCTCCCCTTTTCTGAATAATTTAGTCGTCCAGTCCTTAAACAGAGGGCAGGCTTCACATGTCGCGCACGCCCACAACTATATTTTGCTTTGGAAACAGCCGTGGCATACATGTACTTCAGCCTGGTTCATATGTATTTAGTCAACAGTGCACTGCAAGAGATTATGAGAACAACGGGGGAAAATCGCACTTTTGGATAGGCGCTAATGTTTGTCGCTAACATTAAGGGCATTTCACAGTAATGCGCCATCAATAGTTCGCGATGCGTTGACCAATCACAATGTGCGAAAATGTGTCGACCCTTTTCATACGCACAGTGCTTACAGTGGCCACTCCGTTTCAAACTCTTGGCGGCCCACTACTGTGAAACGCCCATATTGCTCTGTGTTTGGTGCTTGTACCAACGACAAAAGAGTAAAAACTGGCAGGATGAGTAAATTCATTTACCCAATTGTGCATCCGTCAGGAGATTGAACACTTCGCCAGCTTGGCCCAAGATGTCGAAACATACGGTGACGTCACTCGTCGGGACATGCACCACGAAATGAGGGTCACTATCCGCTGAGGAATGCCAGAAAATGAAGGCCGATTTTTTTTTAAATGATAAAATTACGAAGTGCCAGCGCACTATTAATTCCAAAGAAATGCAAATGCAAATCAGAATCTGACAAAACCTAGCTAGTAATCAGAGTTTCACAACAATGCTCGGTATACCTTAGTGATAACCGGTTTCGTCATTTTGTCAGGTTCCAGAGCAATGATACCCCCAACAGAAATCATCAACAACTAAAACAAGCCAAAGAGATCAAGCTCTAAAAAGGAAACGAAATAAGGAATTCCCCGAACAAAACAGGCACTGCCAACATTAGGTATGTACATACCAAAATGGACGATCTCTCCGAGTGGCTTTGAATGCCGGATGTACGTCCACTTTGTGTATCTGCACCCATTCTGTGACAACCTTGAAAAAGTGATATCTATCTCGGTGAGGAAAAATGATGAGATGAATGGTTATCTTACCATATCCTCCGCCACCACCTCCATGCCCACCGCTGCTTCCAGGAGAATGGCCTTGATTACTAGCGCTAGCTCCTTTGGAAGTGGGAAAGAGAGAAACAGGCAAACTTCATCGTTCATGATGATGACTACTCAGAACTATGGCTGAATCTTCTCAAAAGTGGAGGGTAAGGGTTGGTTTTAAGCACTGGTAATCTGACAAGAGGATGTTGGATTATTGTGAATCGACAGCGATTTTTTAATTCACACATAATTATACAAGCTCAGGCTACAACAATCATACACAGTGTAATTCGACAACCAGAATCAGATATCATTACTGCGGTGACACAACGCTCAAGGACAGGTGGTGCGCGCCCGTTAAATGCCTCTATGACCAATTGGGGTGTCGTGATTTGCCGAATGCTCGCGCGTGTCTAACTGAAGAATGTGCGTGTGAATGTGGTGACACCGTAGTTATGGTGTCTAATTGGATCAGTCAACTGTACATTTGCAAATACTAAATACTAGAAAGCGATATAATACAAACACATTTTAGGACAAAGACAGAAATTAATAAAGTGTTATTTATTTATTATTTATACTGGGGAACCCATTCACTTTATAAAAACTGTTCTCCCATAGGTCCCAGTTAACAATACTAAAACGTATACAAAGACATTATAAAATGAAATGAAAATTTAAGTATAGACAATTACAAAACAACGGATAAAATTAGAAATCTTTAAAAAAGATATTCCATTAAAAAAAATTAAAAACACTAAAAGCTGTACTTTTAAAGGTCCGTTTCACTACCCACAGACCCTGTACTCTCGATCCAGCCCCTATGCAGAGTCTTCTTAACAATTTGCCATAGCTCTCATGATTACGGCAAACATGTAGAGTCATAGGTGCACGTACGTACATTTCCATCTGATTTCTGTGCGCATAATGCTGAAACAGTGATTACAAATTATGAACACTGACTAGTAAACACCAACCAACAAACAAAGAAGAGACGGAATTAAACCTAAATATCTTGATGAAACAGAATGAAGGTTTTTTAAAACCCTGGTGAAAAAATCACTGATATAGGGGCACTGGATATGAAGGGAAACCACTGCAAAACAGGAGAATGAGTATGGACCAAAATGATACCTGCGTGTTGGTTTGAAGGTAAGGACTGTGGTCTACTGACGGACTGACTAGAAGAGGTAAGAGTGTCACCAGCTTCGCCTTCCAGTGGAGAGGGGACCTGGTCGATCTCTTCCGGACGCACAACCAGGAGAGACGTCAGCGGAGTGACGAAGTGATACTACGGAGCGGATTCAATGTGAAGCTGTTAAAAGCACTTTGTACTGAGTTAAAACCAAGAACCAAGGTTCGATAAAAACTGTAACGGATACACGAAATAAAGCACACAAATCGTAGTTCACACCACGAAGTGGCGTACTGTGTCCAGTTCAGAGCTATTGCCAACACAGTTATTGTCAATTCGTGGTGAGTCGAAACTTCTACAAGCGCCAACGTCTCTTTGAGACCCGAGGTGCGAAGAAATACCGACGAAAAGTTGAGTTAGTGACGGGGGGGGTGTTTGCGGTATAGGCCTACAGGAATGGTATCCAGAATTACTACAAACCAGCATCATGAATTATACGCTTGAAATTTGCTGGAGTTATTCTCAATTAGCTCTGCACATTACCCTCAGGGACAGGTCCAAAGCTCTAGCTTTTAAGTCCTCCTTTTCCTGGCGATCTCGCGAGATCTTCCTGGCTTTGAGGAGCGACTTGATAGTCAGGTAGGCCCACAAACGCTGACAAAAATCGTCCACAGCGTGGCGGTTAAGCACGGCTGAAGCAGGAGCCTACGCGTCAGTGAAAAAAAACAGTCAACAAAACAAAGGCTCGGTGAAGAAGCCAAAAACTATGCCCAAAAAGCGTAATTACCATGGGCGCCATTTGAGCAAGCGATACGCCTGCGCAGTTTACGGTAATGCTTCGGCGCAGGCTCACTAGGTACACGTGCCTGCTGCGGCGCCTGCGCCTTTGCATTAATGTACATTGCGCAGGCGTATCGCTTGCTCAAATGGCGCCCATGCGATTACAACGTTTTACTTGTATTCACGGTGAAGTTCGCCATCTTGCGCCGCTACGCGGCGCTGTACGATCTTTGGCCAAAACTGTCAACATATTCCCCACATTCGGTGTAACACTTCCCCGTGTGGCTCGGTGGCCTACTTATCTGTGGCATGTAGCACTCACAAATCTTTTTGCCCACATCTTGCTCAGATTTCAGACAGAACAGAAGGAGCTGCAGTGTGTATTTTTGAGCCTAATGACTGAACCCAGCGGACTCGTGCTCTCAACAAGACTACGGGCAAATTTGACCCATGTAATTCTTAAATATTTCCTGACAACCGAAATTACTCGGTTTCTGATAACTTTTTCTCCTCCGGTGTTGGGCGCTCATTATACTTTGAACGCGATTTACCTGTATATCGACCATGGTCTCTAGCTGGATAAAGGTGTCCATGGCATTGGCTGACACCGTAGCCATCAACTCCGTGAGTCCGCTCTCCTGTAACGTGAGTTCATTGGACAGCTGGCCGGCCACAATGATCTCCGTCCCCTCGAAGTAGCTGAGGAAGTTAGTCTGCGTGGTGGAGTTCACGTGGCTGTACTCGATGTTGATGTTGAAGAGCAGCGGGGTGGCCACCTCGTCGTAAAAGCCCTTGAGCTGCAGGGAGGCGCTGCCGTCGGCGTAAATCTTGCGGGCCACGCCCTGGTTCTCCGAGGCCAGGTTGTCCAGAAAGTCGAGGTCTAAATCATGGCCAAAGCCCAAACAGAAGAGAGAGAACTGGCCGGCGATTGCCTCCTTTACGTCATCACGAATCTTTATGAATAGAATATGGGATAAGCAATGGGAAAGCGGTAATTAAAAGACGAATCGAAATTAGTCACCAAAAATCCAATACCTGCTTCGTTGAAAGACCTGAAGAGGGCGGACAGCGCCCATTTACATTTTCCTTAAAATGCCTGGCTCAAAATACTTTGCAACGTCCTTACTTTCTAGAAAAGAAGAGCCAAGAGTAGATAGTGGGTGGTGCCTGCCTTTCAATTTTGCACTCTTCCTCCATCACTTTAACTCTTGTTCAATGTGTTCTTTTTGCACGCAAGTTCTATTGAGCTTATAAGCTGTACAAATACACGGTGCCGCAGGGCACTCGTCACTTTTGTGAATTTCACCACAACCCGAATAATCGTTATTGCTCTTTTCTTTTTTACACTAAAGGAGCTCCATATGCTTTTAATCTTCCTCGTTAATAGACGTGGCGTCACCCTTTGTTTACATGTACGCTTGCTTTCCTAGGGCAGTGAGGTGGGACGCCATCCATCGGAGCCCCATACTGTAGGAAACAAAGCGTGACGTCATTAACGGTCTATTTGCGGACCTTGTCTTTGGTCTCTGAGGTGAGATCTGCGTCTGTCAGCATTATCATCATGGAGTATGCCTCTCGCTGGTCTTGCCTATCCCCTGAGGCGGATGTATAGAGCAGATCCACGGCCCTCATCAGACCACCGTGCAGGTCAGTACCTAGAAACCGGGAGAAAAAAAAGAGCGTTACTTTGTGGCCATTGAAGAGTCTAATATTTTATCTATGCGTCTGGGCCACGACGTGGACAGCGCTTTAAGTCCATTATCTGACAGTGTTTTACTTCCTACATTTTCTTCTTCTTTGAACAAATTATATCAGAATTTAAACCTTTCCCATTTCTCTCATCTTTTGAAGATGGCAAACGGCTGTTAGAAATCCTTTAAGTATATCCCTAGGCTTATCAGAAATAAATGCTTAAATTAAGAGTCGTTTCAAGAAAATACAAGACATGTCCACGATCGGAGAAAATGAGGGAATTCAATAGGCCAAATCGTGGGTTAGGGCTTGATGGGATTCTAAGTCTTATTATGTATTCATTACTCAAAAGACAAAAAAACCAGTGGCAGAATCACCAAAAGTATACCTTATTTTCTTCATTATTGACTCAAACTGAGGAAAAACCCCAAAATGCAATTTTCTCTTTTGTGAAAAATGGCCATGTTTGAGGCAATACTGCAGGATACCATTGCCAAGATTTTCTCACCACATACAGAAAGACCAATGTTGGACCTAATTACAACCAAAAGGTCGAGTCCCCTCGTAAGTTGTCGCTCTGAGGGGCAAAAACGTCAATTTTGCAAGTTCTAAAAACATACTGCAATGCAAGCTGTTAAAAGAGCATAGGTGTGACTTTTAAATATAATCTAAAAACCAGTTTTTCACCGCCCTAAGTCGGCCCATTATGACAAAAAACACAAAATGAGCTGTTTCCATGGTAACGGACTACGTATGGATTTGAAATGGCTACTTTATTTACTTGCACCCCAAGTCCTTTCATCTTACAGAGTATGAAAAATTGATTTTTTGACCGTGGACACAGCTTGTATTTACGTGAAATGACTCTTAATACACCGTGAAATTATATTCCAATACTCGGTTCCATTCCTTTGAAATAAATAAAATAAAAATGAGAAGGAGGGAATGCAGTCCATGCAACTGTCTTCATATTTCCTAAGTTTTCTTGCTCTCTCCTCCACGTCCATTATAGCGTGCAAAGTTAACATTTATTCCCGGAATAGAGATATCCCTATTATGAACAGAGATATCTGTATATGCAGATTGAATGTTAACTTTGCACGCCCTAGTCCATGCTGTAATCTGACTCACCGCCGCCCGCGCCCAGCCACTCAACAAACTGCAGGGCCTGCTGTACGGTTTCGTCCGTTCTGTCAACCATCCCCTCATGCCGCCACACATCAACAGAAGTCTCGAAAGTCACAATGTTAAGTCTGCAAAGAGGTAACGTGATGTGTTTTTTTATGCATTCGTGTGACAAGTTTGCGGTTCACACCCTTCTGGTGCAGTTGTGTCCGCACATTCAGAATACAAGGAGCAATGAAACGAATTAGTCTCCTGAAGTTTTCATTTTCAAAATTTTCATTTCAGTATTCTTGTACGTGCTACTGGCACAAATCTCCACGAAATCTTACACCAGTGTGCAGATTGGAAACGTGAAGGGGGGTTGATCGGTGTTACTGAGACTAAACGTTGAGCGATGTGGTGCACACCAACGCAAATCGGTACATATAGAAGATTTGCTGAAGCTCTAGACCTGTGACGATCTAACTACTTTCCCTCAGGAAAAACTTAAAAGTGTAAGTATAATAAAGAAGAGCCGCAGATTTACAAGGCCTGCACGTGATTTACTGTACTGGCTAGTCAGCTGCTTCTTCGCTTTTACCTATCTCCCTCTCGGATGTCGGCCAGGATTGTTCTCATCGCTTCCTTCGTTTGTTCCATCTTGGTGCCCCACATCGAGCCGCTGACGTCGATGACGAAGACGACATTTTTGGGGGCCGGCGTCAGCCCCTCCGGGGAGAAGTAATGCACAAAGTATCCATTCATCACCTGGCAAAAGAAACCGACGGATATCGACTGATTCGAGTAAACACCCAGGGGCTAACTTTTTCAGACCTAAAACAGACGGAAGAGACAAGCTAAATTGTCTACAGACAACAGGACTGACAGAAAAGAGACACCATCAGAAATCAATCAATGTCAAATACATATACTCATTTTCAGAAGATCATGAAGAATAGCCTGATATGTACTTGCAAAACACAGAGATTACGAGGATAATCCATTTGTATAACCTATACAAATATTTCGGCACAATATGACAGTAATTGTGTCTGATTCTGTGGTCACTTAAGCGGGGATATTTAAATCCATAACTGACAACAAAAAGTCAAGAGCTCCTTTTTTCTCGCCATCTCCAAGTTACCAAGTAATGTACAAAAAGTCATAAACATTATGTTGACATTAATCACTGAAATGCGAACCGTACATGTTTCCTTGATATTTGTGTTGCAAAGATATGAAGGTGAACAATTTGACGTAAACACCGATGAATTGTTTTCATGTTGAAAGATTGTTTATCGCTTTTCGTGAAAATGAGAATATCTGCGTTCGAAAATAAACTTGATTCTCGAAATTAAAGATAGCCCTTTCCGAAAATAGAACCTTAAATTTTCTCGAAAATGAGAACTAAATACGTTCGAAAAGATAACGATAAATATAGTGATGGCACTTTAGGGATATCGAACAAATTTAATCTAAAAACACTACAGTATAACTTTCGTCATGTCCAGCCTTATAGTACACTTTGTCATAATTTATCCAGACCTTTCAAAACATCTGTACAGACTACATTTCATCATGTTCATGGCGCTCCACAACTGTGCCTCGCCCTCTGTTATCAATCAGAAGTTCCAACCATCCACTTTGAAAACCGAACTCAAAAGCCAAATACCTGCAGGTTCCCGGCGCTCAGATCATGCAAGATATCGTACTGGACCAACAGGTTGCCAATGATTCCATTAGCACGCTCCATCTTTTGCTGGTCCTTCGAAGGGTGGAACTTGATATGGGCTCGATTCTGGGACATCTTGTCCAAGTAGACCACATCCTGTAGCGGTGAGATGACGTCATTGAATGTGGACAGCCACATGGCGTCCATCTCCTGCAGGCCCTGCGGTTCCGTGATGTGAACGTCAACGTTCAGGCTTCTCACCACCTTGGAAAGCAAGAACATGTCACTATACATTACAGCACTCTCTACAGTACAGTGCTTATTCAGAAAATGCACGTGCCGGATCATTCCATGAGGTTTGGGCACAATCTGTGACGGCGTCCTTGTTACATCCACAACTTTTTAATACCACCTGTCACGACCTGTAGAGTAAGTCATGTATAACAATGTCAATTTGGAATCCACATGCAGGGGAATAACTGTTCATTTTTACAGAACCCATGTAACAATTGACACAGTCACAAATTGTGCCCCAACCTGGAATGACCCAGCTACCAGTGAGCCACTCAACAGGCTGCGTTATCTAGCGTCAGAGTCTGATTCGTATTAACAAAGGACATACGTCCTATGCGAACGGAAAAGAAATGCGCTTGAAGTGAGATGTAAGCAACATTTTCCTGCACCGGTGAAGATAGAGATAGTTGCACACGCAAACGCCTCCACTGAAGTTAATTAGAAATGCTTCTTTTTTATCATTATCTTTTAATTATTATTATAGTAGCAAACTTGACCCCCATCCTTCATTACCCAGTTTATTGCTGCTGGGTTTGGCATTTGATTCGCGTCTTCTTACCTGTCCAGGATTGATGTTAAGCCGGTATTCGATGATACTGTGTCGACGCTGCAAGAGTTCCTGGTAGGTGAGGTTGAACACCACGGCCGAGTAAGATGCAACGTTAACGGAGACTCTGAACGTGTTGGGTCTGGTCTCACTGCATTTGAACGGATGAACAGAAACACCAGAATGTTCGAGATGTCTCACGCCGCCATTTTGGTCGTGTAGTTATTGGATCAGCCCGAGGGTAATGGATGCGGCCGGTGGTAGGCCATGTAACTGTTGGAAAAAGGCTGCATCGCCAACAGTGACTGGTATTGTTGCCGGTCGGCCGGCGAGGGCTAAGACGTTTGGTGGCGTTCTATATCACACAGTTGTGCGTTATGATGCGTCGCTCCAAGAAGTAAACTTTCAAAATGAATTCCTATCTGTTTTACATCTCAAAAACAGAAAGGCCTATATCTGTTCTGAAAAATATTTTAATAGGCCTAGCTGATTAACTTTCACATTAAGAATTACGATATTTTCGCCCATGATTCTAGAAACTGAAATAGGTGATCGAAAGTGTTTTCCAAAATGCATGTACTATATAACAGAAAGAAATCCGCAACATATACCCATGATGCCGCGTTTCTTTGCCAGTTGCGATTCTTATTGTATTCGGCATTGCCCTCACTGCCAAGTAAATCCACAACACGGTATAGATGATTGTCACCTCTGCAAAATTCAAAGACATGGACTTACTGTTGTTTGACCTGTCCGGCTGTCTGGCCTCGTTCCTTCGCCGCATTGTATTCTCTCTGCGCCGTTTCCTTCTCTTTCACCTCGGCTTCGTAAGCGACATCGTCAATCACCCTGTCAAAGTTCGACAGACGAGAAACAGAGCGGATCTGAACGAGAACCAAGATGGTGGCTGAGGGCCAACCCGTACCCCTTGGGCCGTTTTCCAATACTCAACTTCGTCTCCGTTCAGGTTCGTTTCCAAAAATCAATCCCCGATTGTGGGCCTGAAGTGTTTTAATTAAATTGGAGTACTGCAATGTTTGCCTCTTTTGCACCTTACTTGTTGTTTTGTGGCACTATCAGACTTACTAGCACACTTACAACTTCAAAGTCAGGTAGTTTAAAAAAAAGCAGTTGTAACCTGAGACGGAGCCGAAGTCGTGTATGAGAAAACAGCCTTAACTACTAAATTCATAATTATGCACACGTGCACACAAATGGGCCATTGAAATTGTACGATTTTGATCATTGTCTCCCAGGTTTTCTGGCTTTGGTCAGTTTTTCTATCAGAGAATCCCATTAAATCGTTTTTGCTGTCAGCTTCTAATCTAAGACGGATTTTAAGTGCTCTTTGAAAAGATTTTACAATCGTAATTTTACCAGTGCGCACGAAATTGAGCGGGGAAAATCCCTCTTAGATTAGAAACAAATAGTAAAAACAATTTAATGGAATTTTCTGAAGAAAAATGTGATCAGAGCCAGGAAACTTGAAAGAAAATTATCAAAATCGCACCCCTGTACATTTTCGATGGCCCTTGCCCCCAAGGCCATTTGTTCGCATACGTGCATAGTTATGAATTTATTAGTAAAAAGGTCTATTGAAGATGTACCGAATTTGATGATTATTTTCTCTTAGGTTTTGTGGCTTTGTTTAGGTTTTTCTTCAGAAAACCCAGTAAATCGTTTATGCTATTAGTTTCTAATCCAAGTGGACTTAATACTCTGTAAAAAGACTTTATAATCGTGATTTTTCCTGTGCGCACGAGATCGCTGTTTCTTAGTATGACCCCCTTCCATCATAAGTAGAGTGTATTATCATTAATGTTCTTGGAGCCAACCTGTGCATTTGTAAACACGTACTGATGTTTAATGTGCATGCACTATACGTACATAAGCTTACCATTGAACTTGGTCATAGCTTGGAGTACTACCAAAAGAAATGGTATCCAGTTGACGTGGTGTTTGGGATTGTACAAGACAAAGTGAGATAGAGATCTGGTTCTTCAGATATACCAAGTGCAGAAAGCAGCGAATCCAATGGGTACTGTACTAGTACATGTACATATACATGTACATTGAACATCAGTACGTGTTTTTACAAATGCAGAGTCTGCTTCCAAGAACACTAAAGATGTAATTTATACTGCTCATGGTGGAAGGGGGTCATACTAAGAAACGGCGATCTCGTGCGCACGGGAAAAATCACGATTATAAAGTCTTTTTACAGAGCACTAAAAATCCCACTTAAATTAGAAACTAAATGCCAAAAGATTTATTGGGATTTTCTGAAGAAAAAAACTGAGCACAGCAAGAAAAACCTGTGAGAAAATGATCATCAACGTCGCACCCCTGTACCTTTTTAATGGCTCGCTCACATTTCTTGCCGCCAAGGCCATTTGTGCGCATGCGTGCATACTTATGAATTATTACTGAAGAGATCTACTTGCGAAACAAATTTGTCGAGGACAAAACGCTTTTCTAACAGAAACGTTCTTTTCAGTGACTCACAAGAATCATTTGGTTTGCAAATGCTAACATTTAACCCACAAATGGACTCATTTGTAATTGTTCACATTTTACATGACTTCCAGATGTTCCCACTTTATAGTAATGATACAACATTACATGTCATAACTTGTTTGCACGGAAAACTAATCTATTATCAAAGAAATTCCCTCTTTTCTACTGAAACAGGAAACGAGGTAAGTTACAGTGAAATTCATTTACGCAAACACTTCGAGATTTCATTCCAGTTCAGTCATTGCCAACCTAACGTTACGTATATATATCGTATGTTTAACAGGGTCTTTAGAATTTGACAGACATGAATAATCACGTTGGTGCTACGAAACCTTTTACAAACTTGAGCATGTCATAATTTTTTCGACACTACAGCTTATTTGGGCTATTTACATGACAAATTTGCTGATGAAAGCCTCTGAGGGCAGAGTGACGGCGAAGGTTGCCTCTTGCGGGAACTCCTTGTCATTGACCAATTTGCTGTTGATGAGCGTGTTGGCGAAACGAGCCGTGATGGAGGCCTCCACGTGGAAACTGTGTATGTCTGGGATGTAAACACGTCCAGGCCTAGGGTTGTAGACACGTGTTGGCTGGAGGGAAAGGAGAGTTCTATTCCAGTGAACCGAAGGCTAATATCTCGAAAAAACTCCACAAATGCCTCTTGTCTGTAACTATGTGAAGAGTGGTACATCCACAGTTTCTTTGGGGGAGGGGGTAGGGATTCGTTCGTAAAAAACATATCTTCAATTTTTGTTCCTTTGTAAAACACGCCGTACCACTCCAGTTATCTGCGTACCGCATACTTTTATTTTCTTACCGTCTTTAAAAAGCTCTATGATTCTCCAACACATTTTATGACGTGGGATGGGCTATTGAATCATCTCCTTACTTAACTTGTTCGTGAGCTTATCTCGAGGCTTGAGTTTCCATCTCTCAAAACGATGACGAAAAAATAAGAAAACATCAGTGGGACGAACTGAATAAATCGATGTCTGGTACTGAAAGCACATTATAGCACCATAAGCACCACCAAAGATCATCTTTGGTGGAGTCTGTGCCTTTATCCGAGAAGACCTTGCTTTCAAAAGAAGAAAAGATCCGGAAACAGACGACATCGAATCGATCTGGACGGAAATTTCCCTCACAAGAACCGAACCGATCCTTGTTGGAATTGGCTTCAGACCGCCGAGACAAAGTGACTTTTTGAGCGACATGAGGAACTTTTTTTAAACAGTGATACTTTGTCCAGGCATGGATGGTAATCCAACTAGAAGATTTATTCAAAACTGCGCAGGTACCATCTGCTCAGTAGTCACCCACCTGGGAATAATTTGTCCATAGCCAACAATACTTTCCCAATTTCACTCAAGACATACCAAATTTGAAGCATCCTATTTCCTATTATCTCCATATTATCTCCATTTTCAGTGCGTTTGGCACGGTATTAGAGAAAGTGTTTGAGGAGTACTTCATATCAACAAATATTCTGTTTGAATTCCAATCTGGCTTTCGATCCCAATATTCAACTGAATCCTCCCTGATCCATAACAGCCTTCATCAGACCCGAATTGAATACAGGTAAATATGTCGGAGCGATCATGCTAGACCTACAAAAAGCTGTTGACCACGTCGACCACGAAATTCTTACGTATAAATTAGCTGCGATGGGGTTTTCAGAGAACACAGTAAACTGATAGCAGGTGGTTGAGATTAAAAATGTAAGAACATTTGAACTCAATTTCATGTATCGGCATCAAAGCTGTCTCAGCAAAAAAAACTAGAAAAATGTTGTTCAGTCATTTTGATTATTGATGTCGTTCGTGATATTCTTCACTGTCACTAAAATACAAAAATAAACTCCAAATCTGTCAAAACAAAACACTCGCTTTATTAACAACCTACCCACCACCCTTTTGGTGAAGGGGCGTACGGAAACAGGGCAATATCCTTGTCTGGTTCCCGACCCATAGCCTACCGTCATTTCTATTGGATAGTCCTCATCGTCGCTCACAACGTAGCTGGAATACCCAGATCCACCACCAGAACCGGCTTGTCGTTCTTGCCGCTGTAAAAGCACCAAATAAGATAAAAACGTGAGTCTTAGTTATACTCAACTATACAGAATTGTACAGAAGACAAGCTGATGTATTTTAATAGGCGGTAGCAAAGCACATTGAGCGCTGCCAAATATTGGTCCGCCGTCTAATTCTTTCATTGTCTGGTAACAGCAATTACAAAACATCGTTACTGCTGCTGGTAGGCCTATATCGTATACACAGTATATATCTTTGTCTATAAGTTTTGACTGTCTCAGTGCGAATATTCGTACACCACTGACAATTACAATAATAATCTATTCGTGTAAAATACGATCAAATCTAAATATAATTATTCGACAAGTTGTGAGATATACCTATTCAATATACAGATCAGATCAACTGAAGAATGAAAGCTCGTGTTATCGAGACTTGCATTACAAATATACATGTGGTACCCAACTCCTAGCATTGCATGGTTGCATGGTAACAAGCATTTCGACATTTTAGAACTGCATTCGTATATGCATTCATGGCAAATTCAAAAGCGAATACGTCTTTGGGCTCATTTAACATGATCTTGGGGAGAAAATATCGAACGGTGTTTTTTCATAGAGTTTCGGTGCTCACATTTCTGGATAGGCCACTGTTTTAGGGAAACTTGTATCTTTAGACATACGCCGCTTATACACCCTAAAAGATCCCTTGGGGGAATCCGCTCACCCACCCCGACATTTTATTCCGATATCGCCGAAGTGCATGCATTTATCAAGACCTGAGCCTTTACGAGTTTTAGAGCGACTCTTTGCAGTCTTTTGACACCTATTTTCTGAAAACCAAACACACCATTCTTGCACAGCGCGCATTTTTCTGAAACAGGTCAGCAAAAAATGTATGCTTTTTCCACTGCGGTGCTCAATGCACGCGGGCAGGCAAGTGTGTAGCCCTGAACGTCAAATAACCGTAACGACATAGCTGTACGTCTGATCAAGTTCAAACTTCATTTGTAATGATAAGAAGTGTCTTTCATTCATTCCAAGTTTTACAAAACTGAGCCTGGAACAGCCAAGTTCTTGGGGGCGGAATACGAATCCGCCCCTCTCCCTTCCTCCCCACGGCTCTTTAAAAGCAATGAGCGGGTAGTTGGTCTTCGGCAAAAGTAATTAGCTCAAAGTCGTATACCTTTTTCAAACTCTTGTTTACAACTTTAAGGCGTTGCGAGTTATCTCAATGTGCCGCTGTGAATATTAACTATAAAAAGGGAACGCCGCTGTGCAAAGTATCCAGGTCACTGAATATTGAAACAGTAACAAAATGCAATATGTACTTACTTGGAGTACCACTTGTTCCTCGTCTGTGATTTCAAACTCAGGAGCAGCCACAAATGCTGGTGCTGCTTGAGCAATCGGTGATGCCACCATCGCTATTAAGAAAAGCGAGGCCACCTTTAAGCGCTGGGAATCCATTCCGGCAAATCTGAACGTCTCTTCAATCGCCAAACTTCAGAGAAGGTGGTCGGGTAAGGACCGATTCTGGTTTCACAGTTCGACACTGCGAGATTTTCAAAGGGCTGAGTTAGAACGCACAAAATGATTTCAAACCGACAGCACAACTTCACGCGTACAGCTGCTTTGTTCTAGAAATTGGCCTGGTGATGAGCTGATTGTCAACACCACCAAACTAAAATACGGAACTGCAGCAAGCGCTGGCCTCCTTTGCAGACAAGGTGAGGAAGCAGCGTGCAACAAGACGACCAGCCCTCGTCAACGCCACACCGCACACAATGTTCAGATAGAGCTGAGAACTACAGTTATATAGCTCCCCAAAGTTTCCGCTCCGTGATCGGCGGTGTTAATTTGGGCGGCAAAAAGCGCCCAAGGGCTGGTGCGTTTTTATTAAGCACCTAAAATCACAAGCAACCGAAAAGCAACAGGGTGATCGATTTTTGTACTGCGTGTTCAGTTCACAAATATTCTTCCCAACTTACTCGCCCAGTCTGATGCAAGGTTACAATTTTACTCCGCTTAACAATCCTCCATCGAATAAAACTTCATATGTACATGTACACCTAATTATTACCCGTTGAGAACAATGACTTACACCGGACGCGATAAGAAAGTGAACTGCAAAACAACACAAGGCGGCTATACAAGACTCTGGTGATGCAGTCACGGGGTGCGCGCAAGCCAGGCACTCAGGGTAGCGCTTAGAGTAAATCGACCCCCCCCCCAACACGCACACACACACACACATCCACAGTGGGTATATAGACATCAAGCTGACAAAATCTTAGTTGTTACACTCTTTCAATGTGAAGTATAGGTTTACTGGATAAAGGACAATCGGGAGATATCCAAAAATCCAGTTGCACAAAGTAGACCAACCAGAGGGCTGAGCTTAAAGGAGTCTACTTAACCAGGTAACTTTCAGAGCTTCTAGATAAACCCGAACGTCAACCATTCGCAACCCACCCTGACCATAATCTTGGATAATTTGGTTTCTGGCCACTCGGTCTTGTCCTTTCCAAATAAAATTAAAAACCAGACTATTTAACTCCTTAATCATATCACAGGGAGGATCGGGAAGGGTTAACACACGGTAGATAAGTTTTGACATAAGTAATGATTTAACTAAAGCAATTCTGCCCAACACTGTTAAAGGTCTCTTTGACCAATTAAAAATTTGGCCACGTAAGGTCGGGATAATCCTATTGTAATTCAGCGAAATCATAGTGTTAAGATCAGTGGAGAAGTCAATAACAAGAATTCTAAAAGGTTGCTTAGCCGAGACCCAGCTCACGTTGATCCCTTCACAAAACTTCTCCTCACTATCTTTCATTGAACCAATCCAAATGGCATTCGTCTTCTCAAATTTAACGTTTAAACCAGACATATCAGCAAATTGGTCAAGAAAGCAGCCTGCACTGACTTCGCACTGACATCATCAGCATACTAGGATAATCGAAATTCCATTCCCTCAATCGTAATGCGTTGAAGATCTTTATCAATGCATACCATCATTGATAAAATTTCTGCACACAAAAGGAACAGATAATGACTTAAGCCGTCCCCCTCCTACAACCTCTTCCAATTTGAACCGACTGAGAAAGGAATCCATTAACCAGAACTGAAGAGGAGGCTTGGTTATATAAAGTACCTTGATCCACTTTTTAACAGAAGGGCCAAAATCGAACGCGTCTAGATCTTTAAAAATGAAATTATGTGATATGGAATCAAATGCTTTTTCAAAATCAAGACAGAAATAGACCAGGAATATTATTAGATTCACTGACATTAAACAAGTCATACATTAATTGAATATTTTCCCCCAATAAAACGATCTGCCATAAACCCCTTCTGTATTTCATGAATAAAACACTTCAGACAACATTTAAGTCTTTCTTTGCAATGCAGGCAGAAGCAATTTTGTACGAAGTGTTTAAAAGAGAAATGGGGCGCCAATTTTTCAAATACTGTCGAGGCTTGTCCCCTTTTAGCAAAAGAAGGAATTTTACCGTATCTCTGAGTAACAGAGAGTTGACCAGAGACATAACCCCTGTTTAATGAGCGTAGTAAGTATAACGACGTCTGAAGCCAAATAATTATAAAATCCATAACTAAAACCAAAAAACTAAAAGACTTGCCATTCTTCGCTTTTTTAATACCTGAATAAATTCGTCATGAGATAAAGGCCCCTCAATGCTATCTCGTACACTGTCGGCAAGAATGCTCTTACT